AGTGGTTAACAGTGTCAAATGAAGTAGATAAATCAAGAAGGATTAGAATTGAGAAAAGACCATCAGCTTTGTCAATTAAGAGATCATTGCTAACTTTGGAGAGAGCAGTTTAATGATAACATCATAAACCAGATTTCAAAGGGTTGAAGAGAAAGTGAGAAAGGAAGTAGAGGTAGTAAGTCTAGGCAACTGTTTCACTGAGTTTCAAAAAGAAGAAATATAAGATGATTATTTGAGAAATTGGTAGGGTTCAATAAAGATATTTTTAAGGATAGGAGAGACTTGGAAATGTTTGAGTTCAGTAAAGAAAGAATCAGCTCATAGGGAGAAGTTGAAGATTCAAGAGAGAAAGGGAATAATTGAGGATATAATCTTCTGGAGACGACAGGAGGTGATGAGATTAAATGCACATGTAAAGCACTTGGATTTGGAAAGATGGTCACCTTTTTGTCAAAGACTGAGGGGAAAGAGTTGCAAGTTGGAGATGAGGTCTAGGCATTTTGAGTTGAAGAAAATAGGAGATGAGGGAGCTCATGTTGAATGGTTTCAACTTTTTCAGTAATGTTACAGGCAAGACCCTTGGCCAAGAGAGAGACAGAGAAGGATGTGGATAGACATTTAAGGAGAGAAGAGAAAGTTTGTAATAGCTTATATAGGGAGTGAGATAGGGAATCAATTTGGGAGAATAAATGGATTGCTTTGCTGAAGTATGGGCCCAATTGATATTGGATAGCATAATATACACGGTCAGCACGAGTGTTGGTAAATAAACAATTAAGAAGTACCTATGGCTTAGGTATTTTGCCAAGTGGTGGGGATACAAAGGCAAAGGATAGTCTCTGCTCTTAAAGAGCTTACAGTCTATTGTGGGAGACAACATGCAAATAATTATGTGCAAACAAGCTATATACAGGATAAATTGGAAATAATCAATAAAGGAAAGGCACTAGTATTAAGGGATATCAGGAAAGGCTAACTATGTAAAGTGGGATTTTAACTGGGACTTAAAGGAAGCCAAGGAAATGAGGAGGCAAAGATGAAGCAAGAGAGAATTTCAGGTATGGGGGACAGCCAATGAAAATGCATGGAGTAAAATAAGGGGGGGATAGGATAAAGGGAAATATAGTTAGTTTTAGACAACATGGCTATTATGGAAGTGTTTTGCATGACTACACATGTATAACCTGTATCAAGTTGCTTGCCTTCTCAATGAGGGTGGATGGGGAGGGAGGAAGGGAGAGAATTTGGAACTCGAAGTTTTAAAAATGACTGTTAAATATGTTTTTACATGCAACTGGGAAATAAGATACACAGGCAATGGGGTATAGAAATCTATCCTGCTCTACAGGAAAATAGAAAGAGAAGGGGATAAGAGAAGAAGGGTTGTGATAGAAGGCAGGGCAGATCAGGGGAAGAGATATTCAGAATGCACACCATCTTGGGGTGGGGGGAATGGAGAGATAGGGAGAAAATTTGGAACTCAAAATCTTGTGGAAATGAATTTCATTGAAAACTAAAAATTAATTAATTAATTAAAAGAAAGAAAGAAAGAAAAGAAGTTTAAGGCACATTTTTTAAAAATACATGTCATAGAGGAAGTGGTGTACCTTGCTAGGAAGAGCAAGGAGGTTATTGTCACTGGATTTCAGAGTACATGGAAAATTGTAGGTATAAGAAGACTGGAAAGGGGAGAGGGTAGGCTATAAAGGGCTTTGAACACCAAATAGAGAGTATTACATTTAATTTTAGATGTGATAGGAAGCCACTAGAGTTTACTGAGAGGGAGATGATCACATCAACACTTTAGGAATATCACTTTGACAGCTGAGTAGAGGATGGCCTGGAGTAGGGAGAGACTTTTGGCAAAGAGATTAACTAGCAGACTCTTCCTCCATCTTTGTTTAGTAGCTGGTGAGTAGGAGTGGATGAGATAGATGACAGGAGGAATCCAGGGCTGAGATTTGGCAAGAGAAGAACAGCAATAAGACAAGGGGGACAGGAACTCAAGAGCAAACGATAGTGTAGAGTTGAAATGGCTAACCCAACTTGAAGTTGAAGAGGGGAGAAAGTGAAGTCACAGCTTCACAAGAAGGGAAGGATAATTCTGAGGGAATATCTCACATCCATAAAATGACAAAAAAGGAAAATGACAAATGCTGGAGAGGCTCTGGGAAAACAGGTACACTAATGCACTATTGTTTGAACTGTGAACTAATCTATCCATTCTGGAAAGCAATTTAAACCAAGGCCAAAATGCTATTAAACTGTGCTTGCCTTTGACTCAGCATCTTGCTACTAGGTCTATTTCCCAAAAGAGGCCAAAAAAGAAGAAGAAAAAGATTAAATGTACAGAAATATTTATAGCAGCTTTTTTGGTGAGGCAATCGGGGTTAAGTGACTTGCCCAGGGTCACACAGCTAGTGAGTGTTATGTGTCTGAGGCCAGATTTGAACTCAGGTCCTCCTGAATCCAGGGCCAGTGCTCTATCTACTGTGCCACCTAGCTGCCCCCAAATGACTCATGTTTTTATAAATTTAACAGTTCTCCCTTTATTTGAGATATGAGATTTCATCCAAGAAACTGTCTATAAAACTTCCCCTCTAATTTTCTGCTTTCCTTCTAATCTTGGCTACATTGGTTTTATTTGTACAAAACCTTTTTTAATTTAATATAATCAAAATTATCCTTTTTACATCTCTCAGTGCTCTCTATCAATTGTTTATTCATAAATTATTTTCCTGTCCATGTATCTGATATGCAATATATTCCATGTTCTTCTAATTTATTTATGATATCTCTCTTTATATCTAGGTCATATATCTGTTTTGGCCTCATCTTGGTTTAATGGCATAAGATATACCCAATTTCTGCCAGACTGCTTTCCAGTTTTCCCAACAATTTTTACCAAATAGTGAATTCTCATCCCATAAGCTACTAAGTCTTTCAAAGTGTGTGTGTGTGTGTGTGTGTGTGTGTGTGTGTGTGTGTGTGAGAAATGATGGCTTTCTCTATTGCAGGGTGGTGAGGGAGGGAAACAATTTGGAACTTAAAATGTAACCAAAAATAAATGAAATTAATTTTTAAAAAAGATTTAGTAACTTTGATTAACACAATGACTAACCACAATTCCAAAGGACTCATGATGAAACATTCTCTCCACCTCCATATAAGGAAGTGATGGAGTCAGAGTACAGACTGAAGTATATTTTTGTTTCTTTGTTTAATTTTCTTTTTTTTTACATGACTAATACAGGAATTTGTTTTGCATGACTATATATATTTGTAATGGGTTTTGTTTTTCTTGCCTTCTCAATGGGCAGAAAAGGGGGAAGAAGGAGGGAGAAAATTCAGAACTGAAAATAAAATAAAATCAAACTAAAAAAAAAAAAGCATGCTGGATTTGTAGTCAAAACAGCAAGGACCTGAATCTTAGTGCTGCTGTTTCCTCATTGGGTATTGAACCTCCTTGAACCTCATATTCCTTATCTGTAGTATGAGGATTATTGTACCTGCCCTGCTCAAAGGGTTGGTCAAGAGCATGGTTAAAGAAAACAAAATGAGAGAATGTATGTTAAGGTCCTTTGTTCTTCCTGGGATATTAGGATCATAGATCTGGAGCCGCACAGACCATCCAGTCCAGTCCCTTTACTTTACAAATGGCCCAGAGAGGTTAATCAGCTTCGCCAGGATCATGGACAAGTGTCTAGACTCAAGCTGGAGATTCTGGAGAGAATCTTTAAAACCTGTTTCTCATCCCCTCCTCAGGACTGAAGGCAAAATTGTACCTTTAGCATGCCAAGTTCTATGTCAGATTCAACTATCATCAACTTGGAGGTCGCAGGGGAGGAAAGACAAGTGTGTTGCCTCTTAATTTAGTCGTGTAGCCCATAAATTCTCTCTTTTCTGAAGCCTATTATTCTAGATAGTGCCAGAAGGGGGAGTAAGAAAATATCATTAAAAATTTTCTGGAGCCTCTTAACAGACCTAAAGACTTATATTCAATTAAAGTGGCATGGTGCCCTCTTAATATCCTTTCTTAACTCAGGCTTCAATTCCCTCTTAACGATATTTATCTTACCCTTTCCAGTTTGAAGTCAGCTTTCGTTTATGAAGACAAAAAAACATTACTGGTTAAGTCCAAAAGTAAACATGACCTTCATTTACAAGTATGTAAAAGACTTCTTCATGAGTGGTGAAGTTAAAAGTAACTTCAGAAATAATTTGAAACAATTTCCTTCATGTTTATACATAACCAGAAAATGCTGTGTAGAATTGGGAGAAGACCAAAGATCAGAATTCTCCCCTTGTTCATGTAGACGACCAGATTAGAGTCTAGGATGGCTCTATCTTTATTGATTACCCATAATCATTTTTTAACAATTTTTAAGGCACACTCCTAAATGACACTCCAGAAGGCAAAATCTTTACAAGGGAATACAAACACAAAATGGTAGTAATAATAATAATATAGGTCTTTAAGGTTTACAAATCACTTTAAACATCTCATTTTATACTCAACAAATCTGGGAGGTATTATTATCCCCATTTTACAGATAGGAAAACTGAGATTGACAGTGTTAAAGTGACTTGCCCAGCATCACCCAAGTGTCTGAGATTGGATTTGAACTCAGTTCTTCCTGACTTCAGGCCTAGCACTCTATCCACTGTGCCTCTGTAATTTCTAATAATGCTGAATAGAATTAGGTAATTTTTTTTCTTTTGCAAGATATGACAAACTAAAAGAAAAAAAGACATAAATTGATAATACAGAAGTATTTTCAGCAAGGATTCAATTTGAACCATATCTTGTCTTCCTATTTAGAAACTATCATTACTCAGAAAGGTTTGGACCCTAGCAAAATTAGTACACACTGAATGGGTAGTGAGGACAATTAAATTTCAAAGAATTTGGAATTGGCTGGTGGATCTGGCTTCTGTGAATGCTCAAATTACATTGCAGCTGTTTATTTACTAATTAAATATTGTAAAATATTCTTCAGGTCCCAAAATGGTAGAAGTCCACAGTCAGCAATTCCAGATCAACTCCAAGGATGGCCGGCCTCTGTTTACAGTCGATGAAAAGGAAGTTGTGGTTGGGACAGATAAACTTCGAGTAACAGGTTTGTGGCATTTGGGGGGAAACCACAGGGCCTTCCATTGAACCATACATGTTCTTTGCAAAAGTAAGTCACACTTTTACCCACTTACCATATTTCAGGCAGATGAGAAAAATCTTTTAGTGGTTGGTTTAGGTGATGGTGGTTCTTTTTTTTCCTCTTCATAACTAGAATTAGCTCTAAAATTTTTGAAGGTTCTGTTTAAACTATCTTTTTGTACATCAGCTTTCCTCCCTCCTACTAGCCTATCATCTTTATGTCCTTTCCCATTTAATTTCCCCAAAGACGTCTCATCCTTTGATGACATGCATATATCTGTCCCAAGTGACATTCCATGTACCTTTTGTTTCCCTACTTCATTAGCCATTCATATTTCCTATATTCTCACTTTCTGTATTGTAGGGCCAATCTTTGCAGGTGGTTAGGGAGCCTAGTAGATAGAACATTAAAGACTACAAAGAATGAGAAATCATAAAAGACCTTTGATTAAATATTTGGCATTGAACTTCCAGAAGGAAAAATGGTGTAGTGGAAAGAGTGATGGATTTAAAGCAAAGGACCTAGAGTTCAGATCTCAGTTCCACCCCTTATTACCTATCTGGACTTGTGCAAGTCACCTAACATTTCTAGGCCTTTATTTCTCATCTATAAAATAAGAGAGTTGGACTTTATAATCTCCAACAGACCTTCTATAATCCTAGGTTCTAACAAATCTTCTTCATAGTTAGAGGACTGGGTCTCATAATGAAAACCCCCAAGGGCAGGCCTCCATAGATATATGTGATATATGTGGCATGGTAAGGGAATAAATTTGTCTCATTACTGCTGTACAATAATTGAATAGCATGATGTTCAGCTGATCTGCTTCCCACATTCTGATGAGTGCACGAGTGAGCATGCAAATACCTGGGAATTATTTTCAGTAGCATAGTGACAGCTGTAGTCTCTCCAGTGGTGAGCCCCAGTGGTCTGTGCTTCACTCTTTAATACTTGACATTTTTCTTTAATTCAGTGGGTTGGTTAAATATATAGATGACATGGTTATCACATAAAAAGATACCACAAAATTAGGAGGGATAATAAACATGATTCACCATGTGACAAGCCTGGGATTCAGAAAAATCTTGATGGGCTAGAACATTGGCCTGAATCAAATAAAAGTAAATTTCATAAAAAAAGAAGTAAAGTTATTTGATTGGATTCAAACAAATAAACTTCAAGTACAAGATGGGGAGAGGCACTGGGAGTTTTAATGAAGTGCAAATTCAATATGAGGCAGTCATTTTGCTATGACAGCCAAAGAAACTTATGTGACTGCTTTAAGAAAGGCATGGTATCCAGAAAGAAGTTAATAATCTTGTTGCACTCTAACCTTGTCAGATAAGATCTGGACTTCCCGGAAATCAGTCTAATACAATTTTTAGGAAGGACATTGGTAAGTCAGAAAGGATCCAGAAGAGGACAACCAGGATGGTGAAGAGCCTTGAATTCATGCAATGTGAAGATTGGGAGGAGGAACTCAAGATGTTTAGCCTAGAGGAAAGAAGACTGAGTATTATGGAAAGTATTATTTAAGTATTATGGAAGAGGAATTAGGCATGTTATTCTTCAACTCAGAAAATAGAACAATAAACAATTATTGGATGTCACAAAGAAGCAATTTTAGGCTTGATATAAGGAAACACTTCCTAATGAGAAGGCTAGCTGAGGAGGTAATGGGTTCCCCTCAGAGGGGTAAATATTTAATAACTGCTTCTCTGGTGGGGGGGGAATGTACACATAACATGCTTTCAGGTTTAATTTATATTGTTAACATATTCACCATCACTTTCTGAAGTCTGGACAATCAGTGAAACAATAAATCAAGCTCTGATTTTCCGAGATGTAAATGCTCACACTGAAAATTTAACAATTGTCTCTCCAGAGCTGGTTCAAGCTAACTCCAGCACATACCTGGTTACCTCTAAGGTATGTGAATAAGAAATTTTTTAAAGGTATATATTGGACTAAGTAATCATTGAGGTCCCTTCTAACTCTGAGAATCCCTGCATAGCTGCCCCAGTGCTTTTCTATATCTTTTTCAGATTCAATAAAAATATTTTCCTTAAAGGAAATAAATTATATATATATATATATATATATAAACACATACACACATACACACACATACATGCATATTATATATATGTACATATATTCATCAATGCAGACACGAGGAGGAAGCAAAGGGAAACCTTTCCTTTGCATGCTGAGGAAGCAGTTATTTCCTGACATGAAGTAGAGGCCCAAGACCAATAAGAAGCTGTCAAACAGACATTTTCCAAATTAAAAATAAGAGCCTTATTTCTTTGAAGGCAGGCACCATGGGAGTAGTGTCCCTGGTTTGTTATTAGAATAAATAACCCTACAGAAATGGATTTCCTGGCAGTGCCCAATGGGCAGAAGGAGCAGCTGGTCAGGAACCACTGCATCCAAAGACCCACTGGGATTACAAGAGATTATTGTACCTTTTCTCTATGTTTTTTGCCCATCACCTACACACTGAAGTGTCTCTGTCTCTGATCTCAGCAGGAACAATAGACCTAGCAAAGACAGTACCAGACAAAGGGAAAAAAGAGAAGAGAAGGTGTAAGGCATCTATTTGACCATATGGGACTTGGGAAGGGAAACTGGTGCTTTTTCCCTACCCATCCTTTTCCCTGAGTCATAGGTTTGGAGAAACTGACACAGAATAGATCTCGATTTCTCTCTCTCTCTCTCTCTCTCTCTCTCTCTCTCTCTCCTCCTCCTCCTCCTCCTCCCTCCCTTCCTTTCTTTCTCTTCCTCTCTCTCTCCCTCATTCCCTCACTCCCTATTGAAAATGCTAGGACTTCAATTCCTAATTCATGGACCTTATTAACTTTAGACCTAAGGGAATATAGGGGGAGAAGTAAATAGATACTATACCTGTTGCTTACCTGTGCCATTGAATTCATTGTCTCTCTTAGGAGAAATCTGACAACTACTCATAAACAGAAGCAATATAAACAATTGTTAGCCAGAGAACTGAAGGATCAGTCTTCAATTAGATTCATGACAGAAACTGGATGGAATTTCATCACTTACTTCGGAATTTAATCAGATCTCTGAATGGTCTAATTTTTTTTCCAGAATGTATAACTGTCCAAAAAAATGATGATGAAGAGTTGAAATATCAATTTTACTAAACATATTATAGGAAAATTGTTTGGACCAAGATCCAGGCCTCACAAAGCACCAAAATGCCATAAGAGAACTATTAAATTAAGCATATTAGGCTGCCCCCCCAAGAAGTACACTAACATCTTGCATTTACTCCACAGAGGATTGTAAGATCATACCAGGGAGTATGGATGAGGCCTTGTCTGATCTTTTCACAATCACTTCATGAAATGCCTCTAGGTGTCATGATAGCCCATTTGAATTCTACCTTCCATTGTGGAACCCTGCAGTTTGATTCCACAAACATTTATTTAGCACCTCATATATACTAGACAATGAGGATACAGGTTCTATCCTAGAGTGAGAGAGGGAACCTAAAAACTAATGTCAGAGTACATTTTGTATATCTGGAAAATTTTCCCAACTTAGCAGTCATGAATTTTGAAAAGTCTTAGAGGGTCTTCTGTTATGCCTTGGATACATGCTCTGGACAATAGACCTTTTGTTGTTATCAAACTGACAAGTAGTTGCCCTAGTACCTCTAAGTAGGGAATATTTCTACTACCAATTACTTCTCTTATCTTCTTCATTTGTCCCTTAGTAGATGGCTTCTCATTTAATAGCTTCTGCAGTTCTACTATATCAGTCTTAGATGGACAGGTGACTTCTTCCTCCTCAGAACATCTAGTTCTTCAGAACTAGAAAGAACCTTGAATCTACTTTAAATTCTAACTATATAGCTGTTGTTTTCTTTTACTGTTCTTTTCCTATTCTTCTATTATCCATCATTTTACTAAGGGTCAAGCTTCATCTCCCCCACCTCAGATTTCCTGTTTCCCCCATTGAAGCCTTGCTTCAGTTTCTTTTCAGAACTTTTCCTTCTCTCTAACAACCCAGAGTGTGAAGCAGTATTTTTCTAGTCCCTTTGCTTTCTGCTCTAGAGGGAAATCAACCTATACTTGGAACATAGATAACAGTCACTCCACAGTGTCAGAAAGACAGGCATCACACACTCAATGCAAAGAACTGCACGATTTCCCCTAGTCTCTATAATGGTTGAGATTTTCAGTCTTATTTCTCAAAAATGCTTATAAATGTGTAACCCTTGGCTCAAAGGGTTGTTGTGGTTTCATGTTGTGGGAGTCATCTCAAAGAATTTAGACTCAGACCACTTCAAATCCAAGTGAAGGCACTTATTGAGGATTAATGCCCCTAGAAAGTAGACTGGATCCTAAAAGGAACCAGCAATTTAGTAAGACAAGACAGGCAATTTTATAGTGTAATGATGCTGATTACACAACAGAAATTATGAATATTAAAAAGGCAGGAGGGATTTGTCAAGGGATTAGGTAATGGGGAGGGGTCCTAGCCTCAGTGGAACTGTGCATGCAATTACCCACTCTGCATACAGAAAAACCCAATGCGGGGTGGGGGTTATGGATGATAATAATATTATAAGCCTCTCTATGTCATAAGTTTACTCTAGGTCAGTTCTTTACTCTCACTGCTCAGGTGCTATCTTAGGGGAAGCCCCTTCTATGGTTCAGTGGTCAAACATCCTAGTCTATATCCTGATGCTACTGCTTTCTAATTGGCTAGCTAGTGGTCCTGTCTGCTCAAGACGGATAGTTAGGTATTGTGGTCCTGTCTTGGGCTAGATGGATGATGTGGTTGTGGTTGAGTTTATGGACACAGCTGTTTAAACATGAGAATTGAATCTGGGGGCAGAATCTAGCGAAGGCAGTGGCTGTAATTGAGTCTGGGAGTCTGTGATGTGATTAAAGCCAGATTGTGTGGTCAAATTAGGGCATGCTTATTGTTCA